CTCTCTCTCTCTCTCTCTCTCTCTCGCTCTCTCTCTCTCTCGCTCTTGCTCTCGCTCTCTCTCTCTCTCTCTCTCATCCCAAGCCTGCAGGGGCTCCTGCTCCAGGTGTGTTAGTGATTGACCAGCTGTGGCTTCACAAAAGGGAGATTGTACTTGAGGCTGTTCTCAGGGATTCAACATGTGTCTTTGGCATGCTGGAGTCCATTGCTGCGGCCACTGTGTATTTTGCATGCCTTCCAACCTAGGGAACTCATCTTCCAGCACTGTATTGGACAGTATTCTCTCGTTACCCGTAGTAGTAGGGCTTTCTTCCTAGTCTTTGTCTGGAAGCTCTGCTGAAATCTGTCTACCATGGGTGACCCTGCTGGTATTTGAAATACTGATAGCATAGCTTCCCGCAAAGGAGCCCTGGTAGTTAAGCACTCAGCTGCTAACGGAAAGGTTGGTGGTTCGAACCCACTCTATGGGGCAGTTCTGCTTTGTCACCTGGGGTAGCTATGAGCCGAAAATGGACTCAGGGGAACCTAACAACAATAGCTTCCAGCATTGTAGCAGCACGCAAGTCACCACAGTATGACAAAAGTGACAGACGGGTGGTGGAGTAAGGGATTTAGGACTAGGCATGTCCAGCCTCCTCTGCCATTTAGGAATCTACAAGCTGAAAAAAAGGATGAGAGGGAACACCTGGAAACACCCTGTGTTAGTTCCCAGGGCCACCATAATAAAATGCCACAAACTCGGTGGCTTATAAGAACAGAAATTTAGTCTTGATGCTAAAAGTTCAAATTCAGGGTGCTGGTGGGGCCATGTGACTCCATGCGAGAAAGACCTGGCAATCTGCTCCAGTAAAGATTACAGCCAAGAAAACCTATGGGGCAGTTCTACTTTGTCATATGGGGTCGCTATGAGTCAGAACTGACTCAAAGGCTCACAACAATGACAGCAGCTATCAAAAAAGTAAGAATGCAGTCGTTGAAGCATGTTAAGACATAGAAGAGGCTGAAGGAAGACCTCCATTTTTCAGCCTCTTTATGCATTTTTTGGGGGGCATTTAGGGCCAACCTTGGAGTACTGTTGACAAAATCCATACTGCCAGCCGAGAGCCCCCCCCCAGATGTCCTTGTCCTAATATGGCTCTGCTGTCCCCTTTAAAGGACCTTTAGCACAGGTAGCCATCTGAATAGGAAGTGATTATTGGGGGCCCCCAGGTAGGGGTAGCCGTGCCCCCTCCTTGCTCAACCCGTTACGTTTGAACATGATCAATGAGTTGGCTTCATGCAACTGCGAGAAGTCTCCTTATTCCTTAAGACCGATTTTAGTTTTTCTTCCAAAAAGAAGAGGAAATCTAACGCCCTTGAAACGGTCACTTAGGGCAAGATAATGAGAAACCTTCCAGGAGGTGCTGAGGTGATTGGAATGGGAGTTTCAGAGCTGGCCGTCGCCCAGAAGTGGAGGGACTGTGGACTGAACTCCCGTGGGGCCGAGGAGCTCCTCTCCCACCCGCTGCCTGACCAACCACGGGGCTGAGCGGTCAGCCCCCGTGGTTGACAGCACTTGAGGAGGACACAGGGTCGAGTCCAGCACCAGAGTGCTGGCCTCCCCAGAAGGAGGGAGATGAGTGTTCCCCCCAGGTTGTTTCTTGGCACGAATAGAGCCCCCGTGCGTTCCAGCAGTCATCTGCCCCAGTAGCCAGCCTCATAAGTTCCTCAGGTTTCCTTAAGAAGCAGAGAAAAGGTGATTTTTCATTCTTGCCTGACTTCTTGGCACGTGTCTCCGTTTTGATCTGGGCTGTAGAAATGTAACGCGGTTTTAAGATGAGCCAGGGAAGGCGGGACTGGGAAAGTGAAAGTACTGCCAAAAAGGCAAGGGCTGTGACTCCGAGCCAAGCGCTCTTCAATTATCCACTTCTCCGCTCCCTCCATTAGTGTGTGTAATTGAGAGCGGACCACGTGTCTGCTTCCTAGCCTGGAGAGGTGAGAGCGCCTGCCGGCAGCTCTGGGAGGGTCCCTCTGAATCAGCCTCTCTTCCACATTGGCAGCATCACACGGCGTCTGTCCTTCCACCTCTCCCACCTCTGCCCCCCAAAAAGGTTCCTCCTTGGGGTGAAGTACCGAGTCACCCGGCATCACTTCCACCCCCAGGCTCACTGCCCCTTGAGTAGTCTCCCTCCCGTCAGCTTGCATGCCCATCCCCAGCTGCATCAGAAAGAAAGTCTAGATGTAGACAGGGTGTGGAAGCAAGTGCAGACAGGTGTAGGTATGCACATATAGACTTTTATCAGATAAGACCGGTCTGGAAAGTTCTCCAGAGAGCAGCTCTCAGAAGAGAGTATTCTTGGGGCTTCTTGGTGTGGTGAGCTCATAATATGGCATTTCCTTTTTCTTTGAACCTCCTCCAACCTCCTGCCTGCCTTGGACAATTAACACCTCTCCCCTTCAGCTTTGTGACCACGACCTTTGTGATGGAGGCGATGGCCGCAGCCAATGCTCAGCTCCGGTGGAAGAGGATGGAAAGCCCCAAGGTATGTGCAGCGCCCTTGCTCCCAAGTGGCGCCTCCTTCCAGAGAGGCTGTTCTCAGCAGCCCAGCCTTCTCCTCATGTGGGGGGGGCTTGTTCACAGTGCTTCTCCATGCCCCTAGTCCCAGGGCTGAGCTGCACACCCATATCCAGTTTGCAGAGCAGATGCAGCCTTTGATATTCTAATGCAGCAACGTAGGACCCTCTCACCCTCACCCCTGGAGCCAGCTCAGTCATTCTGAACCTTCATAGCCTGGAGCTGAGCTGCAGCTTCTTCCTGAGCATGTCTGCCATCTTCTAATGTGGCAGTATGGAAGGTTGAAGGAGGCCTGGTGGCACAACAGTTAAGCGCTTGGCTGCTAACCAAAAGGTTAGCAGTTCAGACCCACCCAGCAGCTCTATAGGAGAAAGACCTGGCAGTCTGCTCCCATAAAGATTACAGCCAAGAAAACTCTATGGAACAGTTCTGCCCTGTCATATGGGGATGCTGTGAGTTGAAAATCGCCTTGAGGCACCTGACAGCAACGTGGAACGTTGAGAGCTTCCTAATTAATTACCTTCTTGAAGGAAATAACAAAGGAATTGGTTTCTTCATTGTCTTGGAGTTTTCTGTAGACTCATCCACTCCTTCTTGCTTCTGTATGTCCCTTCTTCTCTGTCCCACACCCTCCTAGGAGGAGGAAGAGGACAGCTCCTCCTCAGCCTCTGACAGTGACGTTCTTATCCAGGACAGCTACGAACGGGCGGAAAAACGGCCCATCCTGTCTGTGCGTAAGTCTCGGGGTTCCAGGCAGGCCTGCACCTCCCTCTGGTCCACGGGGTTCCCTGGCTTGGTGGAGAAGGCCCTGGGGAGTTGCCTGGTGGTTGATGCCTAGGAAGGCACTGTCCATGGTAGAGTGAAAGCGAGGCCCAGGCCTCGCCCCTGCTGACTCTGCTGCTGCTGACATTGGGCAGCGTACTTACCCTCTGGCCTCAGTTTCCCACCTTTAAATCGGGAATAAGTCCCACCTTGTACTGTTAATAAAATGATTGAACACCCAGTACACACTGGAGGTTGAGTAAATGTCAGATCTCTGGCTTCTCTTCTTCCCCCATCCCACCCTCTCCCTGCACACGTGCCCTTGCCTCAGTGTCACCTCCCTGAAGGAGCCAAGCCGGCGGTAAGAGTCCCAGCTTTCCCTCCCGCCCCGCAATGAGCGTTCCTGGGTTCCCTCAAAATAGGTTCTGTCTTAAAGCGTCTCAAGCAGGAAATGATAGGAAAAGTTTTCACAAGCATGTGAGACTCTGGAGAATTTCATTATTCTGGAAAATTCCATGAGCTCCACGATAACCTCTGAGCTTTCCCAAGTAGAACTACTTCCTCTGCCTTGTCCTTTGGCTCCACAGAGAGACGTGGATCCTCGAACCTTTTTGAAATCACAGACCGAGTGGAGATGGGACAGATGGCCTCCATGTTCTTCAATAAAGGTATAAACCTGGGCCAGTCCAGTCCTGCTCTGTCGGGTGGGGCATGGGGATGGAGGGAGAGGGGGAGCAGGTGCTTCCTGCAAACCCAGCACTTGTCACGAGGGTTTCACTTACCCCTGGGCACAGCCCCTTGGTGACAAAGGATGGACATAGGAGGAGGAGGAGATTGTTGGCCGACTCCCAGAACGTCTGAGAAGCCGCCTTCCTGAGAGGCCTGTACCACCCCTCATTGTTTTCTTGGGTTCCTCCCCGGTCCCTGGTGTTGGGAACAAAGAAGAGGGTTTCTGGCTCATACACCAAGGCTGAGACTCCTAAGCATCTTTCCCACAGAGGGAGCCCGTGTGGATGGCTGGTCGTCTTTCTTGATTGCCTCTGGCTCCTGACTCCTTTCCCCCCCGGCCGGTTCAGTCTGGGGCGAGACAGCAGCTGCCTTCAGACTTGGAGACAGGCTCTGCTGCACACACGCCTGGCCGGAGTCTTCCCGGCGGTGGCCAGCAGAGGGAGCTAGGAGCCCATAGGCAGGGTCGCCGCCCAGGAATCTGAGAGAAAGTCTGTGCTTGTGTTTTGCTTCCCTCTCGACCTGCTCTCAGGTGGGCTTTGGCTGCACCTGAGCAGATCCTGGGTTGTCGGGTGTTCCGGAGGCTACGTCTTACACCTCTCTGGCAAATCTTGTTCTTTTGGAAGATGACTGTTTAAGCGTTTATTTTTTTAATGCCCACACTTGTCCATTTTCCCTTTGTAAAGGGTCCGACACATCCTCAATAAATCCTTCCCTTGGCAGTTATCTTGGTAGATTTTCTGCCCCTTTGTCAAAGCCCCTCTTTGCCGAGGGGGTGTCTCCACTGATTCTTTATAGTCTTGAGTGCGGCTGCACAGCTCAGAGCCAGGAGGTGGGAGGGACCAGAGGACCTGGAATCGTCCCGGCTGCCTTTTAGGCCGTCAAGCATTTGGTTTTTCACTGGTGGTGTGATTCAGCTGTCCCGTCTGGGGCCGCGGAAGATCATGATCGTCAGCTACACATTACCGGGGGGTCCGGTTCCCTCCCTCCCTAAAGACCAACCTCACGGAGAGGTTTCAGAATTCATTAAAACCAAATTGGTTCTGTTTAGCTCACTTCTTGCTTTCTGTGCTTTTCCTTTGTTCCGTTTCTATCACTCTTCATCCCCCAGACTTAAGAGCATAACATTTACTCCTGGCAAATACATAAAGTCCCTTTCCAAATGCAAGCTTTTTACGCAGCCGCAGGAGAACACACACATCTTTGTAAGCCTCCTTTCTGATTTTTGTGTCTTAATATATGCCCTCATGTCTTTCAGAGCTCTAGAACTAGTGTGTTTTGTCTTTTTTTTTTTTTCCTTTCATGGACTAGACTCTTAATTTGTTGTTGTTACTTGCTATCAAGTTGATTCCGACTCATGGAGACCCCACGTGTGCAGAGTAGAACTGCTCCATAGGGTTTTCAAGGCTGTGACTTTTCAGAAGCACATCACCAGGCCTGTCCTCCAAGGCGCCTCTGGGTGAGCTCCAACCGCTAACTGGTAGTCGCGCACTTAATCGTTTGCACCACCAAGGGGCTTCTTTTAATAGAAAAGAAACACATTGATATGAGAACAGCTCTCACACCTGAAGGAAGTGGCTTCTCGTCTACTGCAGGATTTCTGTTCTTTGGGGTGGGATCATTCGCTGCAGTAGGGGCTGTCTTGTGCACTGTAGGAGGTTTAGCGGCATCCCTGGCCTCTGCCCATTAGATGCAGTAGCACCCCCCAGTCATGACAATCAAAAACGTCTCCAGAAGTTGCCAAATGTTCCTGGTGGGGGAGTCAAAATCAACCCCAGCTGAAAACCCCTGCTCTCCTCTCTTCCCAATTCACAGATTGTCACTGTCGCCTTTGAGAGGTCTGCCACCCTCCACCAAAGGATTGCTGGGCTCCCTTGGGGTCCAGGCCCACATCTGATAATGAGAAATGCTAGGCCCAGCCCTTGTCCTCTCAGAAATTTCATTGATCCTCCTGTCTGGTGTGCAGTAATGGAATGTATCGACTGGGAAGGGCCCATGGCAGTTGAGAAACAGCTGACACTGGAGTCATTGGCAGGTTGAGGGAAGGTTGGGTCAGGAAGGAGGGCGAGGCCTCCCAGAGAGCACGGGCTGCACCTGGAGCCTGGGGCGTGAGTGACAGGCAGACCCCAGGGGCCCCTACGCATGGACTTCAAGTCTCTCTCTGAGGTGTCAGGGATGGACATGCCAACTGGCGTGTTTGAAAAGCAGGAACTGAGACCCTCCTGGCTCCCTTCGAGGATCGTGTTTTCCCAGTCTTTTCTCCCTCAGACGCTTCGGAGCAGAGCTGACCTCAGATAGCCCGGGAGGAGCATGTCCTAGACTTTCCAGTGGGAAGTCTTGTGAGCCACCAGGATGAGAGAACTGTCACTTCATTTTTCTTTCTGTTCTCAGAGAAGCCAGCAGCTCAAGAACAGTGACATGAAGAACTCAAGCAATCAGTCTGGGCGGGAGTTTGAGATGGGCTGTCTGGGGCTACAGCTCCTGATGTTGGAGAGGCTTTGCTGCTCTTAGAGCATTTGCTCTTAAGATCTTGACGGCCAGAGCCACAGATGGGAGGTAGCACAGGTGGGTTCTTCTCACTGTACAGTCTGAGGGACATTCAGCGGCCTGTCTGGGTTGTGAAGCAGGTCTCTGATGGAATCAGGACTGGGACCCTGGTTCCCACCTCTAGTTCAGGCTTCTTCTGCGGTGGAGGGGACAGAGTTTGCCTCCATTTGCTTTGGCACCAAGTGGCCCCCAGAGCCAGCATCGTCACTTATAAACGTGTCTCAGCGCAGGCTCCTGTCCTCCGTCTCTCCTGCAGGCCAGGCCACCTCCTTCCCACCAGGCCCTTGAGGACTGGATCAGCGTCAGAGTGAGGGCTTTTATAAACCCAGGGCTTTTACTCTGTTGATTTCAACTTCAGAGGGCTGGGCAGTTTCCTGTTACCTTTTCTTTGCTTCTCAGTTCTTCAGTGGAGATGTTCTGTCTAGAGCCCTGTTGTTTGGCTTTGCTGGGGGCCGGAAGCACTCTGGGCTTGAGCTCCAGCTCAGAAGACTCTTCTTCCTCTTCCTCTTCCTTCCCCTCCTCCCACTCCTCTTAGCCTTCCTGAGCTCTAAGGCGCCTCCTGTTCCTCCCCATCCGAGCCCGCACCTCACGCTCCCCTTAAACTGTCTGCACTTGGAAGTTCTCCGATTCTCCGAGCCTCCCTCAGCCCTCTCTCAGGCGAAAGTCGTGAGCAGCCGTGTCTCCTGCCAGCATCACAGTGTTGTCAGCTAGAACCAGAAACAACTTTTGAGTCATTTTTTTACTCTTTTTAGAGAGTAAGTGGCGTTGAGAACTGAACTATGGAAAAGGAAGAGATTTTGTCAAAACAGAATGTCAGCACCTCTCCCCTCCCACCTGACCAGTTAACTTGGTTTCTTCCAGTGGGCGTCAACCTGTTCTATTTCTGCATCATCATTTACCTGTATGGGGACCTGGCCATCTATGCTGCAGCCGTGCCCTTCTCCCTCATGCAGGTGACCTGGTGAGTGTGCTCCCCCCCTACACTGGCTGTAGCCCAAGGGGCTGCCGCAGCCAGGCAGTGCACAGCATTCAGAAGCATGGTACCAACTAATCTGTCAGTGTGGGAGAAATGTCGACAACCCGGGCCCTTTTCTGCACAGACCACAGCCAGCTGTGCTCCGCCCTGGCCCCACACTTAGGGAGAGGAAGGACCGAGGACACAGCCCACACTGCCTGCCAGGAAGATAACCAGGATTCCCACCAAGGACTCCTGAGTCGTCAGGGAACAGTGCTGCAGGGACAATGGTGCATGTCCAAAAAGATAGGAGAACAGAGTTTGTGAAAAGTCACGTTACTGGAGCTGAAGCAGCTGGGAGGGGGAGGTGGCGGTTCAGTGGTTGCTGATAACTCATCTTCCGTCAGGAGCCCTGGTGGTGCAGTGGTTAAGCTCTCAGCTGCTAACCAAAAAGTCGGCTGTTGAAACTCACCCAGCACTCCATGGGAGAAAGACCTGGTGATGTGCTTCCATAAAGATTACAGCCTAGGAACCCCCAAACAACAGTGTTCTGTCAAGCAGCCCTGGTGGTGCAATGTTTAAGCGCTGGGCTGCTAACCAAGCAGTTGATGGTTTAAACCCACCCGGTGGCTCCACGGGAGAAAGAACTGGCAATCTGCTCCCATAAAGATTAACTGGTTGCCATCCAGTCGGTTCCAACTTACAGCAACCCTATAGGACAGAGCAGAACTGCCCCGTAAGGTTTCCAAGGCTGTAATCTTTATGGAAACAGACTGCCACCTCTTTCTGCCATAGAGCAGCTCAAACCACTGACCTTTCCGTTAGCAGCTCAGTGCTTAACCACTGTGCCCCCAAGGCTCCTACACCATAACGATTACAGCCTAGAAAACTCTATGGGCAGCTGTACTCCGTCACCTGGGGTCACCATGAATCAGAATCGACTCGACAGCACCCAGCAACAGCAACAACATTCTGTCTCCTTCAGACCGGGTAGGGCAGGCCACACTGAGCTGGCATCTGCCATTGCTCGCTCGCTCTCTCTCTCAGCAGCACCACTGGCAATGACTCCTGCGGTGTGGAAGCCGACACCAAGTACAATGACACCGACCTGTGCTGGGGTCCCATCCGCCGGGTCGACGCCTATCGCATCTACTTGGTGAGTGTCCTTGCCGCCGCTCCTCTGCCTGGGGGCCAAGGCTGTTGGAACTGCTGTTCCTTTCTGGTAGAACCCTTTCCCCAGAGGGGAGGGTCTCCATGTCTCCACACACTGGTTAACTATCACATCACTCTGGTTAATTACTGACGCTCTGCTCCTGGGCGGAAAATGCATCCTGTCACTAAGACTTTATAAGACTCTAGGCCTTAGAGTGTTCTGGTGACCAGGGCTCAAAGTTATACATGATTTGGAGTTGGTGCCAGGGCATTGCCAGTTCCAGGGATATGAACTCTTGTAAACTTAGTGTGTGAGAGGCATTCTTAGCCAAGCTCAGTAAGAGTGCTGGATCTATCCTTCCAGACACTGCATGTTTTGACCTTACCCCTGCCAGCCTAAGATCATATGGGTGGCTAATGGGTTTTCTGACTGGGCGGATAGAACCAATCTATCTACAGTTGACTGTGATGGTACACAGTCCCTCCAGACAGGAAAGGAGCGGCCCAGCCATCTCTCCGTCTCCCCTCCTCCTAGCAGACAAAGGAGGAAGACGCATCTCCAGGCTTGTTCTTGATTGCTTTGTGCCATGGGCGGGGAGAGTCAGAGCTGAATAATATGCTGGCTGGGTCTTGGGTAACAAGATACAAAACCCGGGGCAGTTATTTATCTCTGCCTGCTTTGCAGGCGGGACTCAGAAACGTTTCCTTTTAGCTTTTGTGGTATCTATTAATATTCTCTGCTTCCTCTTGGTCCTCTTCAGCCCTGACACAGATTTAGGTGTGCTGGGTGACACACAGTTGGACACGTGGCCGCTTAGCTGATTTGGAGGGGGAGGTGGGGGCCGGGAGAGAGTCAAGCCTCAAGAGGAGCAGGCCTCTGGACTTAATGGTGCCTCTTCTGGCAGAGGTTCGGGCAGGCCCTGCTAGCTGTGCTCTTTGGGTCTGAATGTGTTAACCTCAAGGGCCACTGAGCTGGCTTTTTTGCCTTCCCAGTCCTGCCCCTAGACATACTGAGGAAGTCTGGGGTTTAGGCTGCGGGGGAGGCTCGTTTTCTTCTGCATTTCTGGAGCTGTCGGATGGTCTGTTTTTCCTCTTGCACATTCAGCTAAGACTGAAAATTCGGTTTTTCGTGAGAAATTTTGAGGATTAAATGAGATAACTTATGCAAAGTAGTTTGCGCATGTTGTTGACTACTGTCAAGTCGATTCTGAGTCCTGGCGACCCCGTGTGTGCAGAGTAGAACTGCTCCACAGGGTTTTCAAGGCTGTGACCTTTTGGTAGCAGATCTCCAGTCTTCCAAGGTACCTATGGGTGGGTTCGAATCGCCATTTCAGCTGGGAGTTGACCGCTTAACCATTTGTTCCACCCAGGGATCCTGGACTTGAATCCCAGGTCCCCCCCCACTGCATGTCTTGTGGGAATCTGGTAGCAAGTTAATCACCTGGCACACGCCCCACTTCCCCAGCTGTGAGCGTGGGCAGAATCACTCAGCAGAGCAGCCAGGAGAGCTGGGACCCTGGCTAGCACAGCGGAGGCCTGTTAGCTTCTTAGCATTGCACGGACCGTGATTGATCGAGTTACCACAGGTATTAGTAGGTGTAGAGGATCCCTGGTGGCGCAGTGGTTAAGTCCTCAGCTGCTAACCAAAAGGTCAGCGGTGCAAACTCACCAGCCAGTCCACGGGAGAAAGGTGTGGCAGTCTGCTTCCGTAAAGATTACAACCTTGGAAACCCTGTGGGGCAGTTCTCCTATCACATGGGGTCGCTATGAGTCAGAATGACTTGTTGACAACAGGTTATTAGTAGGCGTAAGAACCCATCTGGCTCTGTAACTGCGTAGAAGTGCAGAAGGAGGAGGTGGACACAGAGCATGTCTGGGGCAAAGGGATGGCAGCAGGGCCCTCAGGTGGGCCTTTTCCTGGAGGAGGCCACCGAGGTCTGTGTCGGATCTGCCAGGCACACTCCCCCACCCCTCAGCAAAATAGATACTGAGCGCCGGGAATATTGGCTGCTGCCATTTGCCTGGTAAATTGTTTAGCAGCATTATTATTGCCTGACTAAATTATTCCTTCACTAATTCCTATAAACCTTCCACGTGATGGAAGCCTCCCTCCCTGAGTCTCACTAACTCTTTGACCGAACATGAAGGAACCCTTCAGGAAAGCAGACGGACATTAATTACTGCCTTCATTTCCCAGATATTGCACTTATAACTCGGAAAGCTAATTGTCATCCATGCTTGCAAATGCTACAGAATTAGGAGGCGGAGAGTGGTATGCAGGAACATGGCCACCCAGCTGGATTCTGCACCCTCTGAGTGGTTGACAGTGTCCCTCTCCCGCCCCCCCAGGCCCTGGCTGGGGGCTTCGGTTTCCTCAGGAAGTGTTTGCTTTGGTTGTTCTCTGCTGTCTGGTTTGGGGAAATTGACGACAGATGACCTGATGCGTTGCATTTCCATCGGAAGTTTTTTACAACTTCGCATGTGGCTCCCAAGGTCAGGGGGTCGCTGGGTGGCACCGACAGTTAAGCCCTCAACTACCAACCGAAAAGTTGGTGGTTCAAGTCCATCCAGAGGCACCTCAGGAGAAAGTCCTGGCAATCTACTTCTGAAAGATCACAGCCATTGAAAATCCTTTGGAGCACAGTTCTACTCTGACACTCATGGGGTCACCACGAGTTGGAGTTGACTCAGTTGCACCCGGTTTGGTTTTGGGCCCTAAAGTCTGGGGCCCCTATGGAGCATCACCTCCTGACCCTCAACACAGGGTGCTCCCAGTCTCTCTGCAGGCCTCCCCCTCTCTCAGGGAGTTGGAAGTGGCCAAGCCACAGGAGGGAGAGTTGGCAAAGGTCTTGGTCTCTTTCGTCTGTCCTGCGCTCTCAGGGGCAGGCAGTGGCAGCATCTCCCCCCACCCCCAAGTCTGGCCTGCAGGGCTCAGCCCTGTTTGTACGATAAAGGTCGGGGCAGCTTTCCCTTTGCCCTCCCCACTCCATCATTCACGTTTCGAGGATCATCCATCCCTTCTAGAAACTCCCACTGCGCCTCTCCCTGCCAGCTGCTTCTGATTTTGCTGCCAGCCAGATTTCCCCCAGAATGTTCCCCAAGGCAGCAAGCAGGTAGAAAGGGGAACAGGGGAAGGAATTAGAGCACTTTTAGATGCACAGATTATCTCTTTGTCTTAGGTAAATGACACACCTATCCTGCCTGCATCTTTCAAAAGGCCTCGTGATAACCACTCCTTCATTGCTATTCCTGGACAGTGTGTTCTGGGGGGTGAAGATACAGGCTTTATCATGTGTTTTAATTTTCAGAAAGTCCCCTGGAAACCTTCTCTTCTATTCCTTCCTGGGAGTGCTACTGAGATGCACACACAGAATGAGAATACTTGGGATATTAACTCTCCAGGGCCGGCACGTGAGCATCATGATTACTTACAAGAAGGTAGCTTGCTCCACCAGCAGCCACTGGTCGCCTCCCAAAGCCCTTGACCTTAACCAATGGAAAATTCTTCCTCTTCCCTGCCCGGGACCTCTGTCCACATCCTGTGCTTCCCAGGGCAGCTGACATGAGTCAGATTCTCCCTCTCCTTCCTTTGCAGTTGTCCCAAGAGCTGGGGGCTAGGCGGCTCAGGTCCCATGAGTCACTCAGGCGTCTGCAGCTGCTGTAATCTGGGCCCTGGGAATTATCATTAGGTCCCTAGAAATTGTCATTGAGATCTGCTTTCGGCAGGCCATGGCATCTCGGGCCCCCCACCCGTCCCTCCTGCTCATTTGGAGAGTCAAATGGGAAGGTGCTCTTTCAAACGCTAGCCTTGCCTCCAGGCTGGGGATATCTTGGGATCCTCTCTGCAGAGCGTCTCTGACTTTGGTAGGAAACAAAGTTAAAGTGAAGCGTTTTGTTCCTCCCTTTATGGGGAGGAGGAGCCAGGGTCCGCTGGTGAAGTGGTGGGATTGGATAGAAATCAGACCGTCCTGCGTGTCTGGGAGGCCATGTGCCACGGCCTCTGGTGTGGTGAACACTGCCAGGTGCTCCTGTTCCCTTTCTCACTCCTGCAGCAGTCCCCAGCCCATCCTTCTTGCCCCTTGCCTGTGCCTTGGACCCTTCCCGACTTCCTCGAGTGTCAGAGGGAAGCCCCAAGTGGGGGACTCCTCAGTGCTGAAAGCCCTGCCCAGTTCAGAAAAGAGAGTGGCCTCCACCACTCCAGGTGGACAGATGCTGCTGGGTCACAGGCAGCCCAGCAGGTACTGGCCGCGCAGAGCTGGGAGCACAGATGGCGGAGCGGAGCTTATCCTGGCTGGAGCCCCGGCTACAAACTGGCCGTGTCGAGCAGGGGGCCCTCGTTGGCTGCCTTGGGACAGGACAAGGTCACCCCACTTGTTGTCCTGCCTTGAACGCAGGAGCTGTGAAGCTGCCTCCAGGGCCTGGGTGACACAGAAGAGGCTGCTGCCCTCGAGAACCAGCACGTGGCCAGCCACTCTCCACAGGAGTAGGGCTTCCTCCCAGACTCCCTGTCGGACCCTTTAAAGAGGAAGGTGTGTGTTGTCGGGGGCAGCGGCAGGAGTTTCGTCTGCCAGACCATCTTCTAGAGGAGCAGGTCAGTGTGAGATTCAGGGTCAAGTTCACATTGGAAGGGTCCTTCCAGCCATCACCGAGAGACCTCTCTTCTCTTTCTCTGCCTCTCATTTCATCCGGGCTCAGTCTTAGCACAGCCACGCTTGCCTTGTCGGTTCACAACACTTAACATGGCCTGCAGCCCCCTTCGTAAAACTACACTGTTGCTTCCTAAAATAGTGCCGGGCAAGGGGAAAAGATCCTTCATTGTGAGGCGCAGTGAAGGAGTCAGGTGCCCCGTGGCAGTGCCACGCACCACGTTTTGAATATTCCTGCCCACCATGGCTTGTCCTGCATTTGGACAGCACATCACCAGTTACGTCCACGTTTCTCATTCCGTCCTCCCAACAACCCCGGGAGGTACGTGGCATCCAGGGCTTCCAGCTGCCTCTTCCT